CCCTGATCGTGCGCGACCAGACGGAGCTGCGGCTGTGCGAGCGGTCCGCGCAGCGCACGGCCAGCGTGCTGTGGCCGTGGATCAACCGCAATGCCCGCGTGGCTGACCTCGTGCACATTCTCACGCACCTGCAGCTGCTCCGCGCGCGAGACATCATCACAGCCTGTGAGCACCCGGCCCACACACCCTGGGGCTAGGGGGCTGGCTGAGGGGACAGCTGGCCCCTCGGGAGGCTGCCCCCGCTCCCACCCCGGGCCTCAGTCTGCCTTTCCTTCCTTGGCACCCCAGGGCACCCTCCCCCCCCTCTCCCGCCCCCCAGCACCGCTGCTCGGAGCCCCAGCAGCATCTCGGAATCACCCCAGAAGTTGCAATCCTCGGCGTCCACCCTGGCCTCCCCAGGTAAGGGGGCCTGGGCGGAGGGCCTGCCCGGCCAGGGCCAGAAGCGCTGGCTTCAGGCGTCTTCTCACTGGCCTCTTTATGAAGCTGTTCCAGGTTCCCACACCCATCTGGAAGCTGAACTTCGCTCCATCCCAAGCCTCATGTCCCTCCATCCAGCGTTGCCATCCACAGCGCCTTCCTCCACCAAGGTAGGTGCCACTGCCCCCCAGGGAAGGTTCCAGACAAGGAGGAAGACAGGCAGCCTTTAGTGCTGTGCACACCACAGCCGGCCAAGCCGCATCAGCTGGGAGGCGGCTAGAATCGGGGCGGGGGGTGGGGACTGGTGGCCTGGGCCTTACCTCATCCAGGGTCTCTTCCCTCAGCCACGCCCAGAGAGCCCAGTGTCCCTCCTCCACGGGACCCACCCCCCTCCGTTCTGCTGGCCCCTCTGTGAGATCTCCCAGGGCACCCAGAATTTTTCCAAGGAGCTCAAGATCGGGGAGGGCGGCTTTGGGTGCGTGTACCGGGCGGTGATGAGGAAGACTGTCTACGCGGTGAAGAGGCTGAAAGAGGTAGGCGAAGCAGCCTGGCTTCCCAGGGCTCCCGCCCAGCTCCCCACAGCCCTCCCTCAGCCCTCCGATGCCTGCTGAAGGTTCCGGGCCTGGGCCAAGGTGACATTGCGAGTGGCTGGCAAGCCGCGGCTCCGGGGGCCTCACACTGTCCCGTGTTCCCTGCCACCTCCTGCCGCAGGACGCCGACCTCGAGTGGAGCGCAGTGAGACAGAGCTTCCTGACCGAGGTGGAACAGCTGTCCAGGTGAGCCCCGTGGCTCCCTCCTGGCTGGAGGCCAAGGGCGAGCCTCAGTGCGGGGCGGGGCGCCGCGAGCTCCAAGCCCAGCCTCGCTGAGCGCCCCACAGGGACGACAGGGTCAGTCCGCAGAGCCCAAGTGCTCAGGCCGCATTTGTCACACAGGTTCCGGCACCCGAACATCGTGGACTTTGCTGGCTACTGTGCTGAGAGCGGCTTCTACTGCCTCGTCTATGGCTTCCTGCCCAACGGCTCCCTGGAAGACTGTCTCCACTTCCAGGTACGCTCACCTGGCCCAGCGCGCTTGCCGTCTGCCTGGGACCCTAAGCCTTTGTGAGGGAGCACGCCGGCAGACAGGGCCTGGACTGCCAGCTTCCTCTTGGGCCCGAGGTTGCCCCATGCGCACCCAAGCTTGGCCATGTCTGAGCTGTGGCAAGAGCTTCCTGGCCTTCCCAGCGGGGCTGTGCTGGGAGGAGCCCAGCAGATCCTGTCAGCAGATCCCAAAGACACAGGCCCTGCCCCTTTTTCCCGGCTGCCGGGTGCTTTAGGGAGGGAAAGCGGAGCCCCAGAGAGGGAAGTCCAAGGTCACCGAGCGACAGGTGGAGGGATGGTGGAGGCCAAGCAGCCGGCCATCCCTCAGCCTCCCCTGTGCCCCCCTGCTCCCTCGGCTGCCCCAGACCCAGGACCGCAGCCCTCTCTCCTGGCCTCAGCGACTGGATGTCCTCCTGGGTACGGCCCGGGCCGTTCAGTTTCTGCATCGGCACAGCCCCAGCCTCATCCACGGAGACATCAAGAGGTGAGGAAGCCCAGCCTGCAGCGAGCCCCGCCCCCACCCCACCCCACCCCCAGCTGGTGCCGGGGGCGGGCACAGCCCGGGACCTCAGAGCTGGGGCCTCCGGGGCCATTGAGCACCCTGCCTCATCGGGGCCAAGGCTGGGCCGACACCAGTCTCTTCCCTCCTCAAGTTCCAACGTCCTCCTGGATGAGAGACTGACGCCGAAACTCGGAGACTTCGGCCTGGCCCGTTTCAGCCGCTTCGCGGGGGCCAGCCCTGGCCAGAGCAGCACCGTGGCCCGGACACGGACTGTGCGGGGCACCCTGGCCTACCTGCCCGAGGAGTACATCAAGACGGGGAGGCTGGCGGTGGACACTGATACCTTCAGCTTTGGGGTGGTGAGCTGCTGGCCCCGCTGCTGCCCGGGGCGGGGGCGGGGGGAGCCACAAGTGGGCGAAGGCAGGAGGGGCTGAGCAGGCCAGGAGCCCCCAAAGCTTCGGCTGCACAGCCTCTCCCTCCCTTCATGGTGCCTTTCCTTAGTCTGCACCTACTTTGATGTTTGTGATTTTACGTTCTCTGTCTTGATGCGGGCCCTGCAAATGGCCTAAACTTCAGCGCCTGGCTCTGTCCCTGCTGGGAGGCAGGCCTCATCTGCCTGTCGCCTGGCTGTGCACCCCTGTCCACCCCAGGGGCCTCCTCTCTGCGCGCAGCCCCTCCCTGCCCAGGCTGGGATGATGCTGTCCCAGAAGCCCGTGCAACATTGTCCATTGTGCCCTCTCTCCAGGTAGTGCTGGAGACCATGGCTGGCCAGAGGGCTATGAGGACATATGGTGCCAGGACCAAGTATTTGGTGAGCCTCTTGAGGCGGGGCAGGAGTCAGGGTGGGAGGGGGCCAGTGCCCCTGGCAACCAACAGATACAGCCCTGGGAGGTAGAATGTTCCAGAAATGCAGCCACCCATGGAAGCCTGCCTTTGGTGCTGCTGAGTCATCTTTCAAAGTGGGCAGGGCCCCAGACAGCTTCCTTTGCCTTGCTGAGGAGACCTGTCTTCCTTGTGTGGATGGCGTGGGCCTTCCTTGACAGACCCCACGTGGGCTGCCGGTAGGGAGGGCAGCCCCAGTGTGCTGGGAGCGGAGCCGCCGTGGAGAATGCGCTGGGCTGTGGTGGGGGAGGGGAGGAGCTCCGTGCCACTCCGTATCCTTCTCCTTCCTCTCTGCCTTGTTGGGTTCTCATCTCAGCCTGATGGTGGCCTAGGCGCAAATTACTGGGCCTCAGTTTCCCCACACGCAAATACGTTTAACACACTGTGTGCCGCAATGGTTGCTGGAGCCACAACACACCTGCCTCTCCTACTGCCTGGGGGCGGCATTGGGCACACAGTAGGTGTTTACTAAGGCCACGGGAGGGGGCAGGGTCTAAGGCATTCAGCCCCTGCTCACAGGATCTGTCCCACAGAAGGACCTGGTGGAGGAGGAAGCCGAGGAGCTCGGGGTGGCCCTGAAAAGCGCCCAGAGCACTGTCCAAGTGGGCGTGGCTGCTGACGCCTGGGCTGCCCCGATCGCCACCCGGATCTACCAGAAACACCTGGATCCCAGGCCTGGGCCGTGCCGGCCGGAGCTGGGCCTAGCCCTGGGCCGACTGGCTTGCTGCTGCCTGCACCGCCGTGCTAAGAAGAGACCCCCCATGACCCAGGTAGACACAAAGGGGCTAACAAGGCAGCTGCCCACCGGGTAGGGCGGCCAGCCCGAGCCGCCAGCCCTGGCTCTGACCTCCCCTACCAGGGCCGGGAGGAAAGGGTTCTTACTGTGCCCTCTACTGGGTGTGCTGTGCCAATGCATGTGCCTTTCCCTGTCCCCTCACTTCTCTGGTGGCAGTTGACAGCAGCAGGGCAGTGAGAGCCTTATTAGAAGACAGAGAAGGGCCATCCTCAGCCCCTGGCGCCTCTGTGATGGGGACGGAGGGGCAGTGCCCGTGGTTGGCCGATGTCTTCCTAGGAGTGACGCCTGGGCAGCACGACCAGGCCCGACACAGACCCGCCCCCCCCCCCCGCCCTCCGTCCCCGCCGCCGCCGCCGGTACCAGCTCTGCTCACCCTGCAGGTGTACGAGATGCTGGAGAAGCTGCAGACGGCAGAGGCGTCGGCAGAGCCAGAGGCCGCTGGCCGCAGCCCTCCTTCCCCGCAGGAGAACTCCTACGTGTCCACTGGAAGTGCCCAGAGCCGGGGCAGCCCATGGCAGCCCCCCACGCAGAACGCAGAGCGGCCCCAGAGAGGCGCCAACCAGCCCGTGGAGAGTGACGAGAGCGTCTGTGGCCTCTCTGCTGCCCTGCACTCCTGGCGCTTGGCCCCAAGCAGCTGTACGCAGGGGGGCGCCGCTGGCCAGTCCAGCTGGGGGAGTAGCCCCAGCCTCCAGCCCACAGCAGTGGAAGGTAGCTCGGGCCTTCAGGGAGGAGGAGCGGGGACCAGCTGTTTTGCTCAGCATGTCCTTAGCAAGTTCACGACCATAGATAACAGCACAGACAATGACTGGTTGCCCCTCCCCAGCTCACGCCGGCTGGTGCGTGAGGCAAGGCCAAGAGCTCGCTGTCTAGCCCTTCTCCCCATCCCACTCCTCGAAGCCAGGGACACGGCAGGCTCTGTCCAGGGCTGGCCCCCTGGCTTAGCCTGAGATCCAGGTCCGTGGCCTCACAGTTCACGGAGTTCTGTCCTGAAGCCAGGGAAGCAGGGGGCTGGGAAGGCTGACCAAGGAGTTCCAAGGGACAGCTAAGAGGGTGCTGTCTCCACCCCAGGATCGCCCCTGGGCAGCTCCACGTCGTCGTCGTCGTCGTCAGAACCCCCGCAGATTATCATCAACCCCGCCCGCCAGAAGATGGTGCACAAGCTGGCGCTGTACGAGGACGGGGTGCTGGACAGCCTGCAGCTCTTGTCGTCCAGCTCTGTCCCAGGTACCCGCAGACAGCTCCAGCTCCGCCTCCCGGGGCGGTCCCCGCGCTAGCTGGCCGCCAGGAGCCACGCCCTGCGGTGGGCGGGCTGCTCCCCAGGGCGGCTGTTCTGGCCACGCCCCCGCACCGTGGCTGGCAGCCCAGCCAGCAGCGCTGTCCCAGCTGCGTCACTGGCTGACAGCGGCACCTTCCCTTAGCCTGCGGATGCCAGCCCCCTCCCCCCGCCGTGTTTCCGGCAAATGTGGAGGCACAGCAGGAATTTTCCACTGCAGACAACTTAGAAATAGAAAGCAGCGCTCCGGAGAGCGGCGCAGGAGCTGAGGAGGAAGCCGTGGGCCAGGCCCCGAGCCAGGCTTGTGGTGCGCAGGCGGCCTCCCGATCGCTAAGTGGCATTGCCCTCCCTTCCTTCCTCTCCTAGGCTTGGGCCTGGAGCGCGAGGACAGGCGGGGGCCCGAAGAGAGCGACGAATTTCAGAGCTGACGGCTCACCTGGGCAGAGCTCCTCAAGCCCGGAAGGCAAAGTTCTCATGGTTGCAAGTTCTCATGGCCCACCCTGGCCGTGCAGTGGGGAGACAAGGCGATGTCCCCCGCTGTTCTACGGGTGCGGCACAGGCTGGGCTAGAGGCCCTGAGAGGGCAGGACGCGCCCGAGGCTGCCGGCAGCGTTTCGGGCCGAGGAGAGCGGGCCCTGGTTCCCCTGCGTGCCGGCAGCCCAGGCCTAGACGCAGCCCTTAGACCGGCCCCGAGGGGAAGCGGCCATTCTGCACGCAATTCGAGAAGGGAAGCCCGCGCCGCCGCGGTGCAGTCCGCGGCCGCCCGGGGCACTACACGTGGGCACTACATGTGGGCTCCACGCCGAAGGCGACGAACCCCAGGCAGGAGGCGGCCTGGGGGAGCAGGGCGGACACAGGAGGGACACATGTGCCGTGAACAAATGTGAGGCACAGCTTTAGACGCAAGTCAGGCTCTGTAAGCGGATGTCCTCTTGAGAGCCTCCGAAAGCGGCCAGGCCTTGGTCGTGCAGGCCAAGGCGTCCTGCGGTAATAAAAGCGAACATGTTGGTTTCCGGCGCTTGTGCACTTCTTGCATCGCAGGCCCTGCGCCCCCTAGGGGCTCGACCCCCAGCTCCCAGGTGGGCGGCCCGGGCTGGCCAGAGCGCTGCAGTACTGCCCCTAGGGGCTCGACCCCCAGCTCCCAGGTGGGCGGCCCGGGCTGGCCAGAGTGCTGCAGTACTGCCCCTAGGGGCTCGACCCCCAGCTCCCAGGTGGGCGGCCCGGGCTGGCCAGAGCGCTGCAGCACTGCCCCTAGGGGCTCGACCCCCAGCTCCCAGGTGGGCGGCCCGGGCTGGCCAGAGCGCTGCAGTACTGCCCCTAGGGGCTCGACCCCCAGCTCCCAGGTGGGCGGCCCGGGCTGGCCAGAGCGCTGCAGTACTGCCCCCCCCCCCCCCCGAACATTCACTTGCTCCTGGGATAATTCAGTGTGGCGGGGGGTGGGGTGGGGGTGTGTGTGTGATGCTGTGACAAGTGGTTGTCTTTATTTCTTTTTCTAGTTGGTTGTTGCTAGTGTCTGGAAATGCTTAGCATATGGGCCTTCTATGCTGACTTGACTTAAGCTCATGGATTGATTCCAGCATGCTTTTCGGAAATACCTGGGGATGGTTTCCATATGCAGCCATTTTACTGCCATTTTACTGCCTTTCGGTTCCTTGCCCGGTCTCACTGCCCTGCCTGGGGTGGGGCCTCTGGTCACGTGTTGCGTAGAGGTGGGAAGTGTTGCCTTTCACCCTCAAGTATCACATCGCGTCTCTGCTTGTCATCTATATTTTCTGAGGTTATCCTAGTTTTCTAAGAATTTTTATTAGAAAATACTTTGTAAATTTGGAAGGAGAGTATTATTGAATTTTTAAATTTTTTTCAGATTTTATTTTATTTATTTGAAAAGGACAGACAGAAGGACAGAGAGCTCTTGAATCTGCTGGCTCACTTCCCAGATGGCTGTGACGGTCAGGGCTGGGCCAGACCGAGCCCAAGAGCCAGGAGCTTCCTCCACGTCTCCCATGTGGGTGCAGGAGCCCAAGCACTTGGGCCATCCTCCACTGCTTTCCCAGGCCACAGCAGAGAGCTGGATTGGAAGTGAAGCATCTAGGACGTGGACTGGCGCCTATATGGGATGCTGGCACTGCAGGCCGTGGCTTTACCTGCTACACCACAGTGCTGATCCCATTTTTTTTAATAAAGCAAAGCATGCTGGCTTTAAAAGAAAAAAAGATTTGGGGCCACCACGGTGGCTCACTTGGTTAATCCTCTGCCTATGGCGCCGGCATCCCTTATGGGCGCTGGGTTCTAGTCCTGGCTGCTCCTCTTCCAGTCCAGCTCTCTGCTGTGGCCCAGGAAGGCAGTGGAGGATGGCCCAGGTGCTTGGGCTCCTGCACCCGCACGGGAGACCAGGAAGAAGCACCTGGCTCCTGGCTTCAGATCGGTGTGGTGCCGGCCGTAGCGGCCATTTGGGGAGTAAACCAACAGAAGGAAGATCTTTCTCTCTGTCTCTCTCTCTGTGTATAACTCTGTCAAATTAAGAAAAAAAACCTGATGAATCTGATGTATGAAGAAGGCTTCATGGATTTATTAAAAAAGAAATAGAAAAAAAAGATTTATTTATTTGAAAGAGTTACACAGTACAGAGAGAGGGATATCAATCTTCCGTCTGCTGGTTCACTCCCCAGGTGGCTGCAACAGCCAGGGCTGGGCCAGGCTGAAGCCAGGAGTCAGGAGCTTCTGGGTCTCCCACGTGGGTCAGGGGCCCAAGCAGTTGGGTCAACTTCCACTGCTTCCCCAGGTGCATCAGCAGGGAGCCGGATCAGAAGTGGTGCAGCCGGGACCCATATGGGACATCAGCAATTACCCATTAAAGCGCAGCACCAGTCCCGATTGAATTCCTTCAGATAACCTTCCTGTATCTGTAGAGATGACCATATGATTTTTATCCTTTATTCTGTTCGTATAGTGAACATTCTCAAATGTTAAACCTTGCATTGCTTAGATTACAACATGTATTTGGTCACGGTACGTTACCCTTTCATACAAGTGTACTTCAAGAAGTTCATGGAAAATTATAAAATTAGTTTATCTTGGTGCCAAAAAAAAAGTTGAGATCCATGCACGTGAGGATCCTCTTCACAGAGACGCTAGTGTCATGGTGCAACAGATTCAGCCACAGAGTGCTGGTTCAATCCAGTCCCCTGTTAAAGGGCACAGAGGATGGCCTAAGTGCCTGGGCCCTCTGCCACCCCTAGGGAGACCCGGATGGAGTTACAGACCCCGGCCCAGCCCCAGGCTTTGTGGCCATCTGAGCCATGACCACTAGATAGAAGATCGATCTCTCTCTGTAACTCTTCCAAATAAACACATTTGTGAACTTCACGGAAACTGCATGTTAGGAAAAAACTACATGAATTTCAAAACTGTTTTGCACCAAAACAAACCATGAACTTCTCTGCAGTGCCGTCGTGTGTTGCCAAATCCCATTTGCTAATACTCTTGCAAATGTTTACATCTGTGTTGGTGAGAATATTGATCTCTAGTTTTCTAGTAATATCTATGTCTTCCTTTGGTACCAGGACCGCCTAAAATCCCTCCTTTTATTTTACTTTATATTTTTTTGACAGGCAGAGCGGACAGTGAGAGAGAGAGACAGAGAGAAAGGTCTTCCTTTGCCGTTGGTTCACCCTCCAATGGCCGCTGCAGCCGCTGCACCGCGCTGATCCGATGGCAGGAGCCAGGTGCTTCTCCTGGTCTCCCATGGGGTGCAGGGCCCAAGCACTTAGGCCATCCTCCACTGCACTCCCTGGCCACAGCAGAGAGCTGGCCTGGAAGAGGGGCAACCGGGACAGAATCCGGCGCCCCAACCGGGACTAGAACCCGGGGTGCCGGCACCGCAAGGCGGAGGATTAGCCTAGTGAGCTGCGGCACCGGCCCCCTTTTATTTTCTTAAAGGGGTTATGTAGGCTTGGTTCGAATTAGTCTTTAAATTTTGATAGATTCACAAGTGAAGCCATGTGCACTGGAGTTTTCTTTATGGGAAAGCTTTTCATTAGATCCTGGGCCAGTCAGATGTCCCATTCTATTAATATCAATTTTGATAGCTTGTACACTTGCATCTTTGAAGGAATTTGTTTCTTTTAGGTTGGCTTAAAGTTAATAATACCCCTTACCATCCCGTGTAACATCTCTAGGATCTGTAATGACACGCCCTCTTTCGTTCTTTTTGTTTTTAGCATTTATTTAGTTCTTTGAAAGGGAGAGTTATATATAGAGAGAAGTCTTGCATCTGCTAGTTCACTCCTCAGGTGGCCACGATGGCCAGCGCTGGACCAGAGTGAAGCCAGGAGCTCCATCTGAGCCTCCCACCTGGGCGGCGGGGACCCAGGTAGTTCAGGCGGCACCTGGTGCCTTCCCAGCACAGAGCCGGGTCAGAAGCAGAGGCACGGCCCGAGCCCGGGTGCTCTGCTGCGCCGTGTGGTCATCCCCAGACTTACCGATTTTACTGAGCTCCTCAGAGAGCCACTTTTGTGTGGCACTGATTTCTCTTTATTGTTGGTCCATCTGTTATTTTGGTGAATTTTCTTTTTCCATCTTCTTTCCATTGTCAGTGTTTGGGTTTAAGTGACCTTTTCCAGCTTCATAAGGTGTGACCTCCAATCCCTGATTTCAGATCTCCTTTCCCAACACCAGTGCTTAAAGCTGTGCACTTCCCGGCGAGCACAGCTTCGACTGCATTCTTGGGAATGTGGATGTCTGTTTTCTTACCGTTCCGCTCATAACATCTTCGCATTGTCCTCGCGACCCTTTCTCTAGCCCACGACTTATGGCTTATTTAGAAGTGCGTTGTTTAGGCCGGTGCTGTGGCTCACTAGGCTAATCCTCCATCTACGGCGCTGGCGCCCCGGGTTCTAGTCCCGGTCGGGGTGCCGGATTCTGTCCTGGTTGCTCCTCTTCCAGTCCAGCTCTCTGCTGTGGCCGGGAGTGCAGTGGAGGATGGGCCAAGTGCTTGGGCCCTGCACCCGCATGGGAGACCAGGAGAGGCACCTGGCTTCTGCCTTCGGATCAGCGTGGTGCACCGGCCACAGCAGCCATTTGGGGGGTGAACCAACGGAAAAAATAAGACCTTTCTCTCTGTCTCTGTCTCTCTCTCTCTCTCTCTAACTCTGCCTGTCAAAAACAAAACAAAACAAAAAAAGAAGTGCACTGTTTAAATACAGTCCTCCCTTGGGTGACAAGATGTGCCGGCGGTCCAGTCCCGTATGGACAACAGCACCTCCCCTAGACTTTACCTCATCTGCCCGTTACTTCTGAGCCCAACACAGCGTGCGTGCCATGTCTGTAGTTGTTAGCCTGCATTGTTTGGGGAATAATGACAAGAAAACCGTCTGTACATGTGCAGCACAGACACTCGTTTTCAAATGTTTTCTGTCCGTGGTGGATTGAATCCATGGATGCAGAGCCAACTGCGTTCGAGGCTTTTGCAAGCTATGTGTTTGCTGTGTTCAGTTCTGTTGTTTCCAGAGAGCTGACTGGGTCTGCTTTGCTTTCTTTTCGAGGCACTGAGACTTGTTTTTTTGGCTTCACGTGTGGCTTGGCTTGGGGAATGTTGCATGGGTCTTTGAAAAGAGCCGTTGCTACGTGGTGATGGGGTCAGGGTGCTTAATGCTGCCCTCCTTTCGACCTGCTCCGTGTGCAGCTGTGATTGTGGTGGTCTCTGCGGCCTTGCAGGTTTTGAAGCTCTCTTGTTCGGCACGCAAACATCAAAGATGGTCTTCTGGACAAGCTGACCCTTCTACTCTATTGTTATGAATTCCCCTTTATCTCCTCTTGAAGTCTGCTTTGTCTGGTATGAATATAGCCACTTCTGGTTGGATAGGCTCAAGTTTGTCATTTTTTGACTTCTTCCATTCCTTTCCTTTCAACTTTTTTATTAACATATTTGCACTTCACATGCGAGAGAGTGAGAGCTCTTCCATGTGCTGGTTTAGTTCCCAGTTTCCTGCAAGAGGCGGGCCTACGCCGGGCT